AAATAAAATGGGTACCTTGTAGCAGTGCACATTATTGTTAACAAGAATTGATTACCCAACTTAGTCCTGGGTAATGGACCAACACAATCGATTATTACTTTCTCCAACGGCTCTCCCATGACCGGAATTGGGCAGAGAGGAGCCGGGGAAATTACCTGGTTATGCTTCCCCACCACTTGGCACGTACTACATGTACGACAATAACGAGCCACATCCCATTTCATTCCCGGGCCAGAAGAAATGACGGAGGATTCGATCGTAGGTTTTAGTCACCCCTAGATGACCAGACCAGGGAATATCATGATCCAGGGACAACACCTTCGTCTGAAACGTGGCAGGAACTACAATCTGGAAAACGGAACACCAATAATTTTCTAGGTCAGCAAGGGAGTCAATTTTCTCATCAAAAGACCCTCACTCAAAGGTAACATGGAGGAAAAACATTTGGCTAAGCCCACATCCTCTTTCTGGGCAGCTATTAGCTTCTCCCGAGTAACTGGCAACCTTAAACAGTCCACCGAGGAAGCCATTGTCTTGTCTTTACTACCATCATCATAATCAGAACTCACTGGGAACACAGGAGTAGAACACTGGATAACTTCCCCATTCAACATAGGTGCAAGCACAGTCAGCTAAGTCTACCATGGTACCTAAGCGACGCGACTGCGCACACGTAATGGCACACGCTGGAAATGCTTCAGGAAACGTAGTGGCCAAAACATCAGCACTTGACTGAGCATCAGGCTTGTCTAGTACTTCTAACACAGGCACAACTTTGCCTCCTGCTAGATCGTTACCCATGATTAGAGCAACCCCATTTATGGGAAGCTCGGACTGCACACAGATTCTGAAACATCCACTTGATCAGAAGTCAAATGGACAATAAGTAACGGAACAGGCACACAACCCATTTCGATCCCCCTTAATAATACACTAGAGCCACAATAAGACCTTTGCGTCCCATCAGGCTTTGGAATCAGCAGACAGGGGGAACTCCAAGGACTGCCACTGGGGATTGCCATCTCATTTTAACACTAAATAAGTTACCTCTTTCTTCATCACTCCCCTCTTGATTGAATTCACACGATAAGGGTGCTGTTTGATTGGAGCAGCATCACCTACATTTATATAATGTCTTTCACACAAAAGAAAATGAAACGTCACTTTGATGTAAAAACTGTGTCTCGTTCTTTTCAACCAGGTGACCAAGTCTTGGTGTTGTTGCCAGTACCCGGCTCGTGCCTCTCTTCCATTTTCTCTGGCCCATATGTGGTGGAGCGAAAACTCAGTGATACTGATTATGTTATCAAACGCCAGACCGTAGACGCCCATTTGGGATATGTCACATTAACATGATTAAAGCCTATTATGTTAGAGTTGGTATCGAATCCCCCATTACCAGTAAAAATCCTGTTGTAACCTCTGTTGCTTCTGCTGTTTCCTGCCCCTGCCACTCGACGGGAATTACGCAGATTCTTAGGCATTACGGGTTATTATCGTACATTTTGTAGGGATTTCTCAACTGTTGTAGCCCCAATGACTAGGTTACTCAGTCCTTCATTGTCCTTTGAGTGGACTGCTGAGTGTCAATCTGCCTTCCAGAAGGACAACTATCTCTGCGGCACTCCACCAATCAGGCCTTTATGGTAAAGTGGCCAGACGGAAGCCACTCCTCAGTAAAAGGCACATGACAGCCCACTTGGAGTTTGCCAAAAGGCACCTAAAGCCTCCCAGATCATTAGAAACAAGATTATCTGGTCTGATGTAACCAAGATTGAACTCTTTGGCCTGAATGCCAAGCGTCACATCTGGAGGAAACTTGGAACCATCCCTACGGTGAAGCATGGTGGTGGCAACATCATGCTGTGGGGATGTTTTTCAGCGGCAGGGACTGAGAGACACTCAGGATGGAGGCAAAGATGAATGGAGCAAAATACAGAGAGATCCTTGATGAAAACCTGCTCCAGAGCGCTCAGGACCTCAGACTGTGGCAAAGGTTCACCTTCCAACAGGACAACAACCCTTAGCACACAGCCAAGACAACGCAGGAGTGGCTTCGGGGCAAGTCTCTGAATGTCCTTGAGTTTCCCAGCCAGAGCCTGGACTTGAACCCGATCGAACATCTCTGGTGCGACCTGAAAATAGCTGTGCAGCAACGCTCCCCATCCAACCTGACAGAGCTCGAGAGGATCTGCATAGAATAATGGGAGAAACTCCCCAAATACAGGTGTGACAAGCTTGTAGCGTCATGCCCAAGAAGACTCGATGCTGTAATCACTACCAAAGGTGCTTCAACAAAATACTGAGTAAAGGGTATGAATAATTAAGTAAATTTGATATTTCATTTTTTTATTTTATGAGCAAATATATCTTAAAACTTATTTTTGGTTTGCCATTATGGGGTATTGTGTGTAGATAGATGAGGGAAAAAACGATTTAAATCAATTTTAGAATAAGGCTGTAACGTAACAAAATGTGGAAAAAAGTCAAGGGGTCTGAATACTTTCCGAAGGCACTGTATAACTTCTGTTCTTATTACCAGCGAAAGCCTACATTAATTTAAGGTTCTCATTCTCAGAGTGGACTATAGCCGCGGGGTCCTGAAAAATCAGGAATGACATAAAACATTTAATTAAATAAAAATAATTCACAAAAGTTATGCACTGGTCCTTCACTAGTCCTGAATTAACGGACCGATGTAGCACAGGCAAAAAAAACTTTTTTAGATTTATTACATAACATTTATGTATTTTTGTTTGGAGCGCTCCATCTTTGCTTGAGTCTAGTTTCTCTGGCTGCGTTTACACAGGCAGCCCAATTCTGATATTTTGCCCAATTATTGGCAAAAGAGCTGATCTAATAAGTATATGTATAGACGTGGCCTGCGCTCCTCATTTGGAAAGTGTTCAATTTATGAACTGTGATGTTACAGTGAGGGAAAAAAAGTATTTGATCCCCTGCTGATTTTGTACGTTTGCCCACTGACAAAGACATGATCAGTCTATCATTTTAATGTTAGGTTTATTTGAACTGTGAGAGACAGAATAACAACAAAAAATTCCAGAAAAATGCATGTCAAAAATGTTATAAATTGATTTGCATTTTAATGAGGGAAATAAGTATTTGACCCCTCTGCAAAACATTACTTAGTACTTGGTGGCAAAACCCTTGTTGGCAATCACAGAGGTCAGACGTTTCTTGTAGTTGGCCACCAGGTTTGCACACGTCTCAGCAGGGATTTTGTCCCACTCCTCTTTGCAGATCTTCTCCAAGTCATTAAGGTTTCGAGGCTGACGTTTGGCAACTCGAACCTTCAGCTCCCTCCACAGATTTTCTATGGGATTAAGGTCGGGAGACTGGCTAGGCCACTCCAGGACCTTAATGTGCTTCTTCTTGAGCCACTCCTTTGTTGCCTTGGCCGTGTGTTTTGGGTCATTGTCATGCTGGAATACCCATCCACGACCCATTTTCAATGCCCTGGCTGAGGGAAGGAGGTTCTCACCCAAGATTTGACGGTACATGGCCCTGTCCATCGTCCCTTTGATGCGGTGAAGTTATCCTGTCCTCTTAGCAAAAAAACACCCCCAAAGCATAATGTTTCCACCTCCATGTTTGACGGTGGGGATGGTGTTCTTGGGGTCATAGGCAGCATTCCTCCTCCTCCAAACACGGCGAGTTGAGTTGATGCCAAAGAACTCGATTTTGGTCTCATCTGACCACAACACTTTCACCCAGTTCTCCTCTGAATCATTCAGATGTTCATTGGCAAACTTCAGACGGGCCTGTATATGTGCTTTCTTGAGCAGGGGGACCTTGCGGGCGCTGCAGGATTTCAGTCCTTCACGGCGTAGTGTGTTACCAATTGTATTCTTGGTGTCTATGGTCCCAGCTGACAAGATCCTCCCGTGTAGTTCTGGGCTGATTCCTCACCGTTCTCATGATCATTGCAACTCCACGAGGTGAGATCTTGCATGGAGCCCCAGGCCGAGGAAGATTGACAGTTCTTTTGTGTTTCTTCCATTTGCGAATAATCGCACCAACTGTTGTCACCTTCTCACCAAGCTGCTTGGCGATGGTCTTGTAGCCCATTCCAGCCTTGTGTAGGTCTACAATCTTCTCCCTGACATCCTAAGAGAGCTCTTTGGTCTTGGTGGAGAGTTTGGAATCTGATTGATTGATTGCTTCTGTGGACAGGTGTCTTTTATACAGGTAACAAGCTGAGATTAGGAGCACTCCCTTTAAGAGTGTGCTCCTAATTTCAGCTCGTTACCTGTATAAAAGACACCTGGGAGCCAGAAATCTTTCTGATTGAGAGGGGGTCAAATTCTTATTTCCCTCATTAAAATGCAAATCAATTTATAACATTTTTGATATGCGTTTTTCTGTTTTTTTGTTGTTGTTATTCTGTCTCTCACTGTTCAAATAAACCTACCATTAAAATTATAGACTGATCATTTCTTTGTCAGTGGGCAAACGTACAAAATCAGCAGGGGATCAAATACTTTTTTCCCTCACTGTATTTCTGATTTATACAAATGTATCAAAGTAAAGATGGATATGGAAATTGCCTTTTACATAGTAGAACCAGTTGGTTTTAATTGCCAATTTGGTAATGGTATGGTCAAGTAGGCATATTCACCATTGGATCACAAAGGCTGCGTTTACACAGGTAGCCCAATTCTGATATTTTTTTCACTAATTGGTATTTTGACCAATCAGATAAGCTCTGAAAAACATATTGTAAAAATATCTGATTGGTCAAAATACCAATTAGTGGAAAAAATATCAGAATTGTGCTGCCTGTGTAAACGCCTAAGACCTGCAAATAAATAAATAAAATGTAGCACTTCAATCTGCCTTACCTTCTGTTGATTTCCTGCCCTTACAACTGCTATACATGGTCCCTATTTTATTCAGTTGAAAATATTTAATATAAGCAAGAAAATTGGTCTTATCCTGCCATGTCTATGAGTCAAATGAAATTTGCAGAGAAAGATGACTTATTTTGACAAGGAAAGTTTTTAATCAAATTTAAAGGACACAATGTACCAATAGTATTTCTGCAAAGTTTGCAGAAATACACTCCATATACGCCATATAGGCCTACTACTTAAAGTTACTTAAAACAAAACAACAATTGTCTCAAGCCTGTCAACAACAGAGTCGTAAAAACAAGTCAGAAAAAAAGTGCTCAACCAGAGTCAGTTCTGTTACAATCCAAACGTATTCACATTCAAAAAATACATCTCCTGTATGACAACATTCATAGACAGCCACTCATGTTTCAGCTGAGTGTAGGATATGTCTGCTTTTACAGCGTCAATCAAAAAATAGATACCAATTGAATAACTGAATAAGAGAAAGAGAAAGCCATGATAAACACACAATTAAAATGATTATAAACCCATTTTCAAATCAAACAAATTACATTGATTTAAATTACATCATGTCTACAAATCCAATTGTTACAAAGAGGATTTTTACAGTGTCTCAGGGGTGGATTAGATTTTTTAACAGAGACAATCGTGCACATTTCTCCAGCTGTTGAGAGGGTTAACCTCCCGTCTCCTGGGGTCAACTGGAAGGTCAGAAGGTCAAAGATGAAAAGTCAGTGATCAACGCTGGCTCAGTGAATGGCAGTAGCCTTAGAGCTGAACATACTCAGGCTAAAGGGACTAGAGAGAGAGAGAGAGACAGAGAGAGATCATACATACCTGAACACATGAAGATGGCACAAAAACACACACATCACACACAGAAACTCACCTCTTAAGGTTACTAGCTGAGGATGAGGAGCTTTGCACCAGCCTCTTGGGAGCAGAGGAAGAGGAGAAGGGGACAGGGACCTGAGATAACTTGGAAGACTTGGGAGGGGTGATAGAGGTCTGACTGGTCTTTGTCAAATTCAACCTGGAGAATGATGGTACAACAAACAACAAGGTTTCATAACCTTTTAAAATACATTCAAAGTACAGCTCTAAAGATGAGGGTTATGCCTATCGATGTATGTTTTACCACATTCACTTTCGCACCACACACACACATACCGTGAAGAGGTGGCAGACCTGGATGAGCGACGGCCTTTCAAATCCCTGAGTTTATCTCCTTGGGTCAGACACTCCCTGTAGTTATTCTGCAGACGGCAGAGAGAGGGCAACAAACCAAGACATGCAGTCACAATCATTTCACATCCTAGCGAAATACCAGCCCTCAAAAAACTTAGACAGGGTCAGAACATTTCAGATTATAATGCAATGAATAAAACTGACCTGAATGATTATTGTACTTGACAAACAGTCATATCTGTAACACCACATGTGTCAAACACAAGGCCAAAAATATTGTAATCAGATTACAGATACTTTTGAAAAACTAGATGATTACTTTGAGGATTACTTTTAAATTCAGAAAGCATGTTTGCGCACATTTTTCTTTTACACCTTTATGTTTTCTCAATGACATTCAAATCAGCATTGAAAAAAGCCGCAAGTTTACGTTTGTTCCGCCTGAGCGAGTCTGACCACAAGGCAGAGACCACTTTGATGATACACCAAATGCGTTTGATGGATCTCGGGAAAAGAGCAGGAATAGGCTTTTGTAAGCTACAGTCCAAGCTGTCTTCCAATGGAGTGACTGCTGTCGGTATCCAAAGATTATCCAACTTGAATAAATGCTTGGAGGTAAGGACGACAGCAGTGGTGTAGCCTACGGGAGATACGGATATCACTTATTATTGATATCTACACTGAACAAAAATAAACGCAACATGCAACAATCTCAAAGATTTGACTGAGTTACAATTCACAAAAGGAAATCAGTCAATTGAAATAAATTCATTAGGCCCTAATCTATGGATTTCCCATGACTGGGAATACAGATACTGTATGCATCTGTTCGTCACAAATACCTTAAAAAGATTGTAGGGGTGTGGATCAGAAAACCAGTCAGTATCTGGTGTGACCACCATTTGCCTCATGCAGCGCAACACATCTCCTTCGCATAGAGTTGATCAGGCTGTTGATTGTGGCCTGTGGAATATTGTCCCACTCCTCTTCAATGGCTGTGCGAAGTTGCTGGATATTGGCAGGACCTGGAACACGCTGTCGTACACGTCAATCCAGAGCATCCCAAACATGCTCAATGGCAATGTTCCCTCTAAGCTGCGTGCGTGCGCGGGCGCTCAGCTCCCCTCGGACTGCCACGCAGAAGAAATATCAACCCACGCAGAGAAGCACTAGATTGAACTTCACTCAACTTTCTAGAGTTTTCCCCTTTAGTTAACACTATCAACGTTTCGCTCTACTGTGGGAATTGTGATCGAATCAACGCAATATTAGCCACTTTCAATGTAACATACCGTAACAAAACGAACTTTGCAAGACATAGTATGCTAAACTAACTTGGCAAGATATTTTCTTGTAGGCAAAGCGCATTGGAGTAGGATTCTATTATATTGACAGGCATGAACCAGGCCTGTACTCTACACAGACCGGTGTGCCATAACCAATCAGAGCTGCAGTAGGCCTATATGCAAATAGCCATTGCCATATATGGATCTGTGCCATTCACTTTGAACTAGACTATGTTTAGGCTACAGTATGTGTGGTTGCGAGTAGATGCACTTGTTTTGAGATCAAAGTGAGAGCTGCATGTAGCCACGTGCACATTTGTTCATATTCTTTTCTAGTTAATGGGTTATTAGCCCAGTTATAGCTAATTTCTAGTCAACAATGGGGTAGTGGTTGCTTCGACTTGATGGCACCGGAGAAGATGGCTGCCGTTTTACAGCCCTCTAACCAATTGTACTATTATGTGTGTTTTTTTGCGTTATTCTAATTTATTCTGTACACAATGTTTCTGCCACCGTCTCTTATGACCAAAAAGAGATTCTGGATATCAGGACAGCGATTACTCACCTCGTATTGGACAAAGATTTTTTCTTCAACGAGTCGGACGCGAAGGAATTCTACAGACACCCGACAAGGCCCAAATCCCCGTCATTCGCATGAGATCTTGGACGTATCGTGGACGTAGGTCGGGGTGTCTTGTAAGGATCCGACGGCAATCGAGTAAACTGCCTCTTCCATCAATCCTATTAGCCAATGTTCAATTATTTGAAAATAAATTGGACAACCTAAGATTAAGGTTATCCTACCAACGGGACATTAAAAACTCTAATATCTTATGTTTCACCGAGTCGTGGCTGAACGACGACATGGATAACATACAGCTGGCGGGATATACGCAACATCAGCAGGATAGAACGGCTGACTCCGGTAAGACAAGGGTGGCGGTCTGTGTATATTTGTAAACAACAGCTGGTGCATAAAATCTCATACTAAGGAAGTCTCGAGGTTTTGCTCGCCTGAGGTAGAGTATCTCATGATAAGCTGTAGACCACACTATTTACCAAGAGAGTTTTCATCTATATTTTTCGTAGCTGTCTATTTGCCACCACAAACCGATGCTGGCACTAAGATTGCACTCAATGAGCTGTATAAGGCCATAAGTAAACAGGAAAACGCTCATCCAGAGGCAGCGCTCCTAGTGGCCGGGGACTTTAATGCAGGGAAATTTTTATCCATTCTACCTAATTTCTACCAGCATGTTAAATGTGCAACCAGAGGGAAAAAAAACTCTAGACCACCTTTACTCCACACACAGAGACGCGTACAAAGCTCTCCCTCTCCCTCCATTTGGCAAATCTGACCATAACTCTATCCTCCTGATTCCTGCTTATAAGCAAAAACTAAAGCAGGAAGCACCAGTGACTCGGTTAATAAGGAAGTGGTCAGATGACGCAGATGCTAAGCTACAGGACTATTTTGCTAGCACAGGCTGGAATATGTTCCGGGATTCTTCCGATAGCATTGAGGAGTACACCACATCAGTCACTGGCTTCATCAATAAGTGCATCGATGACGTCGTCCCCACAGTGACCATACGTACTAAAGGGTAGAGCTGCCGCTTTCAAGGAGCGGGACTCTAACCCGGATGCTTATAAGAAATCCTGCTATGCCCTCCAACGAACCATCAAACAGGCAAAGAGTCAATACAGGACTAAGATTGAATCGTACTACACCGGCTCTGATGCTCGTCGGATGTGGCAGGGCTTGCAAACTATTACAGACTACAAAGGGAAGCACAGCCGCGAGCTGCCCAGTGACACAAGCCTACCAGACGAGCTAAATCACTTCTATGCTCGCTTCGAGGCAAGCAACACTGAAGGATGCATGAGAGCATCAGCTGTTCTGGATGACTATGTGATCACGCTCTCCGTAGCCGATGTAAGTAAGACTTTTAAGCAGGTCAACATTCACAAGGCCGCAGGGCCAGACGGATTACCAGAACGTGTACTCCAAGCATGCGCTGACCAACTGGCAAGTATCTTCACTGACATTTTCAACATGTCCCTGACTGAGTCTGTAATACCAACATGTTTCAAGCAGACCACCATAAAAAGAGGACTGAGCACGCCCCCATTCTCATCAACAGGGCTGTAGTGGAACAGGTTGAGAGCTTCAAGTTCCTTGGTGTCCACATCACCAACAAACTATCATGGTCCAAACACACCAAGACAGTCGTGAAGAGGGCACGACAAAGCCTATTCCCCCTCAGGAGACTAAAAAGATTTGGCATGGATCCTCAGATCCTCAAAAAGTTCTACAGCTGCACCATCGAGAGCATCCTGAGTGGTTGCATCACCACCTGGTATGGCAACTGCTCGGCCTCCGACCGCAAGGCACTACAGAGGGTAGTGTGTACGGCCCAGTACATCACTGGGGCCAAGCTTCCTGCCATCCAGGACCTCTATACCAGGCGGTGTCAGAGGAAAGCCCTAAAAATTGTCAAAGACTCCAGCCATCCTAATCATAGACTGTTCTCTCTACTACCGCACGGCAAGCAGTACCGGAGCGCCAAGTCTAGGTCCAAAAGGCTTCTTAACAGCTTCTACCCTCAAGCCATAAAACTTCTGAAAAGCTAATCATGGCTACCCGGACTATTTGCATACTGGCCCCCCGTGGGAAACAAACCCACAACCCTGGCGTTGCAAGCGCCATGCTCTACCAACTGAGCTACAGGGGTAGCATATGTAAAATAAATCAGGAAAAACACATTACTTTGTAGATCTACTGAACAATACATCATATAGCGTCGGAAATAGTTATAAATTATAGCGACGCATTCATGGATGTCTGTTGCATAAAAATTCCGAAATGTCGGCCGCTGCTTTTTTTCCATGTGTCCAGAGTGGACACCTTGGCCCTGTGAATCCTGGCCGTGGACATAAGGACAATTTCCTTGAACGTGAGCAGCCATTGCTGCATTGGTAAATGAGGTGGAATCCATCTTTGTAAATAATCTTTTTTTGCAGCTGTGGTACCTGCCAATCACTCTCCGTTGGTGTAACTCAGGTGGCATATCTGGCCAGAAAAGTGCTACAATTCATACAAGAAGCACAGCAACCATCTACTTTTCAAATCCAGCATTCTGTCTCGTACGCGACTAGGACAAGCATAGCAGCAAATTTAAATGGAAGTTGGTCAACTGCATTAGATAGTATTTCATGGTTGTACAATTATAAAACTGGTGATCATCCACAAAACAGCCATCAACAATGTTTTACACAAACGTACATTTTACTGCTGCTCTTTAATTATTTGCTATTTCTTTACTTTTCTATTTTCTACTTAACACTTTTTTTATTTTCTTAAAAACTGCATTGTTGGTTAAGGGCTTGTAAGTAAGCATTGACTTTTGTCTTCTTCTAATGCCTCTTAAGCAGGTTGATGTTTATTGGGATGAGTCTTGTCCTTGAGGCAGAACTGAGAGATTTCCACTAGATGGGCCAGCTGCAGAGTACATAATTGGCTATATTGTAAAAATGTATGAAAACAAAAATGTGTTTTTGGTCTTAATTTAAGGCTAGGGTTAGGCATTAGTGGTTAGCAGTGTTGTTAATGTTAGGGTTAAGGTTAGGTTTAAAATCAGATGTTATAACTTTGTGGCTCTGCCAGAGCTGCCTCCAGAACAAGATGCATGACGAAAAGTAATCAGATTACATTACTGAGTTTGGATAATCCAAAAGTTACGTTACTGATTACAATTTTGGACAGGTAACTAGTAACTGTAATGGATGACATTTAGAAAGTAACCTACCCAACCCTGCATACAAAGAACTATTGCCAAAGTCACTCACCTCATCCAGGCTGAAGGACTTATAAAGAGTCGTATTGATTGACAGGTCGTCCATGCTGGAGACGAGGCAAGTCACTTCCTGGTCCAGCTTTGGCCGCTGGCGACGCTGCTGCTGCTTCTGTTTGGTGCGGTGCATGTCACCCTGCACCCACATACTGTGTTGCTTACTAAAGAGAGAGATGAGGAGTCAGATGTACCAAACTTCCACAGATTTAAGAGCCAGATGATGTCTCCCCCAAAGGGTCCATATTAAAAAAGCGATCTGGGATCAGGTCCTCCTCTTATTTATTATGATCTAAATGGCAAAACTGATCCTAGATCAGCACTCTGATCTACTCTGCGACACTTCATGAGTACAAGGCCTGAACCCAACTGCGGTGCATGTCAAATCATACTTTACAAACTCCTGGAAGTAAATCAAATTCATGAAAAGTGGTGAAGCACTGTGAACCTGAGATACTGCAATATACAGTGCATTCGGAAAGTATTCAGACCCCTTACCTTTTTCCACATTTTGTTACATTACAGCCTTATTCTAAAATTGATTAAATAAAAACATGTCCTCATCAATCTACACACAATACCCCATAATGACAAAGTGAAAACAGTTTTATTTTTGTTTTTTTTATTTTTTATTTACATAAGTATCCAGACCCTTTGCTATGAGACTCAAAATTGAGCTCAGGTGCATCCTGTTTCCATTGATCATCCTTGAGATGTTTCTACAACTTGATTGGAGTCCACCTGTGGTAAATTCAATAGATTGGAAGAAGTCTGGAACAACCAAGACTCTTCCTAGAGCTGGCCGCCCGGCCAAACTGAGTAATCGGGGGAGAAGGGCCTTGGTCAGGGAGGTGACCAAGAACCCAATGGTCACTCTGACAGAGCTCCAGAGTTCCTCTGTGGAGATGGGAGAACCTTCCAGAAGGACAACCATCTATGCAGCACTCCACCAATCAGGCCTTTATGGTAAAGTCGCCAGACGGAAGCCACTCCTCAGTAAAAGGCACATGACAGCCCGCTTGGAGTTTGGCAAAAGGCACCTAAAGGACTCTCAGACCATGAAAAACAAGATTCTCTGGTCTGATGAAACCAAGATTGAATACTTTGGTCTGAATGCCAAGCGTCACCGCTGGAGGAAACCTGGCACCATCCCTACAGTGAAGCATGGTGGTGGCAGCATCATGCTGTGGGGATGTTTTTCAGCGGCAGGAACTGGGAGACTAGTCAGGATCGAGGTAAAGATGAACGGAGCAAAGTACAGAGAGATCCTTGATGAAAACCTGCTCCAGAGTGCTCAGGACCTCAGACTGGGGCGAAGGTTCACCTTCCAACAGGACATGACCCTAAGCACACAGCCAAGACTACGCAGGAGTGGCTACGGGACAAGTCTCTGAATGTCCTTGAGAGACCCAGACTTGAACCCAATCGAACATCTCTGGAGAGACCTGAAAATACCTGTGCAGCGACACTCCCCATCCAACCTGACAGAGCTTGTGAGGATCTGCAGAGAAGAATGGGAGAAACTCCCCAAATACTGGTGTGCCAAGATTGTAGCGTCATACCCAAGAAGACTTGAGGCTGTAATCGCTGCCAAAGGTGCTTCAACAAAGTACTGAGTAAAAGGTCTGAATACTTATATAAATGTGATATTTTCTTTTTTTGCTAACATTTCTTAAAACCTGTTTTTGCTTTGTCATTATGGGGTATTGTGTGTAGATTGATGAGGGGAAAAAACACAATTTAATCCATTTTAGAATAAGGCTGTAATGTAACACAATGTGGAAAAAGTCAAGAGGTCTTTCCGAATGCACTGTATCTTTCACTGGGCCTTAGTGTGAAATATTGGGGTTTATTCCTTACTCTTCAAGAAAGTCCTGCTGAGGTCCGATGATGGATCCAGGCCTGCAGATCCTGATCCAGGCGATGGCCTCAGCCGCCGTGAAACGATAGTGCTTCATCAGGTAACAACCTATCAGAGTCCCCGTACGACCCAGACCCGCTGTGAATGGACAGAGAGGGGAGGAGTGCGCAGAAAAGAAAGAGAAAGAGTAAAGAGAGAAGAAGAGAAAATAGAGTTCTTTATGATAGAGTAATGGTGAGTGAGTAAGCCTACTGTTGATATGTCAGTCAATTGCTGCCCTCTAGTGATGTCTCTGTATCACTGCATGCTAGAGTCCACCACTGAATAATTTTGTAATTTGCTACTGAACAGACAGCAGAGCTTTATGTACTGTATGATGTACACATGTTTTATGTTGCTTTCTGTACATGATGGCTTTATGAACTCATTAATACACACACACACACAGCCTCTAACCCTTGCAGTGGACAGCCACAGCGCCCTCGGTGCTCTCACACACGTGGAGGAAGCGTCGTGTGATGAGGTCACTGGGCGTGGTTCCGTCCACGAAGAACAGGTCGTGATGCTCGAAGCCGCCGTCAGTGAACCGCTGTCCGTCGTAGATCTTTCTGTTGAGCCGCACCACGGCGGTGACATCATGCTCCTGGAAATACAGGAAGTAGGCCTCTGGAGCGTGGAGAGGGTATCCTGGGAGGGAGGGGGGGGCAACAGGGTTGGGGTCAGTACCATTATAGTGGAGGTTGGTGAAGTAAAGTAATTTGGGTATTCTGTACTATCAACTGCCATTCCATTTACTGTGACATGACCAAGCGCTGTAATTGTCTCTTAAAAACATGTATAGGCACTGAGAAAAACTCACCATTCTCTATCTTGCTTTTTGGGTGAGGTCCACTAAAGGCCAAAATCTTCCCAGGAATAATCCAGTTCATGTCTCCATTCTCCACCCGCTCATAATGCTCATACTCTTCCACATCAAATGTCTCAAAGTTGAAGAATCCATATTGCAGGGCCTAGGGATGGAAGAAAAAGCAGGGTGGTATTCAATCAAACCTGACATGAATTGTTGTTCACAAAAAGACGAGTACTTAGGAGCAACGTACATATATAGTCACTGTAGACATAGCCTTGCAGTCTCAAGGACCTGTGTGAACGTGGAGAAATTGCAAGAGTTCCCTCTCTTCTCATCTTCTCTTTTTCTCTTATTGATTACACTCCATTGCACAATCCTTCTGTTCTTCACATCTCCCTGGCACTTGATTGATTCATCAATTCATTAACTGGATATAGAGTCCACACACCAGGTTGCGTGTGTAGAAATGAGTCCCTGACTAAAAAGCCAGGGTGAGCAAAAGCACATAGTGCAGGGTCGAATTCAGGCGAGAAAGATTTTGAAATGCTCAGATATAAATGTTTTGCAGAGAACTAAGATGATTCCATATTCTACATAGTTGAGAATCATGTTTATTCTAGATACTATATTTCTATCTGAATGGAACGTTCTGTAGTGAACCCATGATGTAACCCTTCCTCCATGTTGATACATGCTAACCATGTTTCTCTCCCTGTGAGCATAATTGGACTAAAAGATTAACACTGCGAACAAGACAGAGAGAGGGGGAATGGAGAAAGAAAATGGATTCTTGAGGCCATGTAACCGGTCTATGGGTCCTTTTAAACTCATAAAAAGGCTGGATAACATGTTATACAAAATTTTAATTGATACACCATTGTAAATGCCATATACATTTTTATAAATGATGGAATACTCATTTATTAAGAGTATGTACTACTTATAAATAGTTTATTAATGCTTATTAATGACAGTTATTATAACATGTTATCAAGCGTTAGAAGACACCAACTACCCACGATAAGAAGGACAGAGTCTAATAATAAATCATTATTTATAATAATGACCAACCCAAGGCTCAACTGAAAATAAACAACGCATTTTTACCTTGCGGATTCCTTGTAAACAGTCTAGGATGGTCAAATTGTATGTGCAGTCTCCGAGAGCAGCGTCCCTAAAAGAGAAGAACAAATGGTGAATTCATTACACTTTTGGAGATTATTGTTGGCTGTGCATTTTCAACAGCTAACCTCATTATAAGCTTTTCCAATTACATTTACTCAACATACACCCAAACGGTGACAGTGTAACTTGGTATGGTGTTGTGTCATCCTGCGATGTCAGGATGATGGGGTTACAATGTGGCATTGAGTCATCAGGAATCTAGAACGCTCTGCAGGAACTTTGCATCAATCTTCCACATTCTCATCTCAACTCATTTCTAACTGTATGTACGTGTGCAACCGCACGTATTTATGGGCGTGCCAGAGGCATTTCTGTCAGTGGCACAGCCTGGCTAAGCTGGGATTTGCAGTATATCTCTGAGTCTAATGCGAGCGCATTGATACCAGTTATAGAAAAGAAACAACAAATATTCTCCTTTGTTCAGCAGTACGCTTTTTCAACATTATCAGTGACAAACATTAGGCAGTTAGGCATAAAGGCATTAGGCATGACGTTTGGCAGTATTTGTATATGCACCATTCATGAAGGGTGTTATGTACACAGCATTAGCCTACCAACCTCTAAATTTAAGATTGGGCGATAGAGTAACTGAATAGTTACTGGAGTGGTGTACTGTTTGTTTACCTGAAAGGCAGATATGCGGTATTGTTTCCTGAGATGAGGGTCCTGTAGGCCTCCTCTGGGCTTCTCTTCAAATAGATCACCTGAGACAGACGTGTGCATGTGCATTAGAGACAATAAGAGATTACGAGAATGACATAATAAAGACAAGAAGATGAACACTTACAGAATAGGCACCAATAAGTACTGCAGCATTGGTCCTCTTCCTCTGATCATAGCTGGTGTAGTGAATCACCCTCTTTCTGGAATGAGTGAAGGACTGAAAGAAACCAGACTGTCAACATTTCAAATCATAAGATGTTCGTTAAACGACTTCTATGTTTGGTTTTATAGGAAAGATTGTGTTGAAAATGACATTGATATTACATAGTAATAGGAGCACCTTAATGTAAAGGGTTATCAAAAGGGTAAAGTAATGTTCATATTGAGGAAACCCCCTTGGAGGAATGGTAATGTATCTGTGTCTTACCCTGAGCTTCTTGTTCAGTTTACAGCAGTACCTGTACAGCATGCCCAGATTCAGGGGTCCAAAGTCAGCATAGAAGCTGAGACACAAGCCCAAGAGAGCAAACGTAAATAATGTATCTAAAGTAATAGCATAACTATTACTCTTCAGTGGAGGAAGGTAATATCATGTAGGCCTGTATACTGTAAATGAACAATTACAGAATAAAGTACATGTAATACACATTTTGGGATTTAGAAATCAGGTTATAAAATCCAATTTTACACATGGTAACTGGTTGCCATTAGGCCTAGACCTACTGGTTATTGGTTAGCCTAAATCCATAGACAACACATGTGTTCTATCTATGTGCGCTATAGTCGGGTCTGAAACGTTTGACACCCTTGATAAAGGTGTGCAAAAATGACTGTATAAAATAAATAATTCAAATACTGAACTATATTGTATGCTCAAATTTTTGACTGAGATGGCCATGGTAAAATGCTGATTTTGTGGCCAATTAACCATTTATTTGTGGATTTTGATGTGTCCCTGGGTTTATTGTCTTGCTGGAAGATCCCCTTGCAGCCAAGTTTCAGCCTCCTAGCAGAGGAAACCAGGTTTTTGGCTAAAATATCCTGGTACTGGGTAAAGTTAATGATGCCGTTGACCTTAACAAGGGCCCCAGGACCAGTGGAAGCAAAATAGCCCCATAACATCAAAGCTCCACCACCATATTTTACAGTAGGTATGGGGTTATTTTCTGCTCATGCATTCTCATTTCCACACTGGTGTGTGTGGCCAAAGAGCTATATTGTCATGTCATCCAACACATGTAAACCCCTGGAGTTTGCTAAACAGCATTGGCACTTGGATTGGTACCGGTGCTTTGGTCAGATTACATGAAAATAGTGCTCTTTGGCCACACACACCTTGTTAAGGTCAACGGCATCATGAACTTTATCCAGTACCAGGACATCGCAGTCTCCGGACATGAAACCCATTGAAAACCTGTGGTTTGAATTGAAGAGGGCAGTCCATACAACAGGCCTACTTACTTCTCATAGAGAAGTTCATCATCTGTGCTGAAGTAGTGAGTGTTTGCTGTAGTTTTCGGTTTGGTTCTAAGGGTTGTAAAATACAACCGGTCTGTAAGAGAATAGAGAAAACAAGGGCAAAGTGATAACAATGATAATAATCATATTTCATTTCCCACGCTCAATGAGCATTATGTGAATGTGACCCACATCAGGGGTTCTTTTTAACCCTTTCCATTCCGACTTAGCTTCTTCCAAAACATCAAACAACATTCATTAACACCCAAAATATAAAGTTACTCTTCCATTAAATGTGTTCCCATATAGGCCTATGTTTTGGCTGGTGCAATCATATTTCTGCTCTGGGAGATTCATCAAGTACTAAAGTCACTAAAAACTGCACAAACAATGCTCAAAGAAACTAACTACACGAATGAAACGCATTGATTCCACATACAAATTAGTTAAACAGCTGTTAAATCACATGTTCTAAACGTTTGTGGGCAAAAGCAATCTAAGGCTGCGCCTGACCGCAACACGCGCATGAACTCTCGCGCAATAAGTAGATGTTATTCAAGCCAAGTTGCGCAACTACTTTTCTTTTTTTACCTTTGATGAACTCCGACGCTCCAAGTATTACATATTCATCTGCCATTTCATTCGGCGTTGTTAAAATCTCAGAATTATATAGGGTTCTTCAACAGATGAATTGGAGATGGAGTGCACAAGTTGTTGATGCAAAACAAGTTCTTTATACCCTTTTGAATGAAACTAAAACACACAATACGAGATATTCCTTTTGATGATCTTCTATTGACGAACTAGTGAAAACTATGTCGCAGGCAAAAGGGATGAAGAGAAGAACAAAGGTGACCATATCCAACTTGCGACAACTCTCCTCACTTGTCAGCACGGCTTCAAATTCTTCACTAGAATTTAGACTGGATTGTGTTCTATATTCCAATTTAGTTTGTTCTTCAACAAAAAGTTTCAATTGAAGAAGGCTGAAAAATTCAGTTCGTCCAAGACGCATCCAAAGTAACCATATGCCAAACCTCAACACAGGGCACGTTGCTATGGTTTGGTAGAGTCTGACCAATCAGCATTTGATAGGAGGCGGCTCTGACCTAAGAAGTGAATCCCCTGTCAAGTGTCTGAGCTGCGCAGGGATGGTTCCTCATCTAGCCTAGCCTAGTACAGTTAGTGTCACGTCTTTTACGCATAAGGATTCAAGAATGTTCTTTGTGGATTTGTGTGTCATAATTCAGTTGTTATTTTACATTCCTAAGTTAACTTTTCCACTTTAAGTCTTATAATAGTCATCTTACAATCTTTTTTCAGTCAGTTTTAGTTTTGATATGTCTGAATGAAAGTACATAGACCTAACTGTAAAACAGTCACTTTTACAGTGTGGTTAACATTGCAGTGATGTAAGCTGCAGGCCACCAACACAAACAGACCACTCATCATGGTGTGTGTGCTTGGCATTCCCTGTGGCATGTGATGCAGTTCTCTTACGAATTGTTTCTTCCCACCTGACTACAATTAGGCCTTGGTACCTCTCCATAGCAGGACGTGCCACTGACGTGTTTAAAACCCCCAACACTAATTACTTTGATCAGCAACCACACGCACTAGACAACTCGCGCTCAGGCACAATCCTCAAACACACGGCAAAGTCATATGTCTGGGATGGCTTAGTTAGGCATACTGCAACCCATCATAATGGAATGATAATGAATGTCTTTGAGCGGGGAAAAGTGTCTATGAGATAAAGGGTTGAAGAACACAGTTTTACACTTTAACAAAGTGCCTTCACTGTGATAGAGGTCATTATTTTCGACAGTACTTTATTATTTGTATACATGCCGGGTATAGGCCTACACCACACGACTTTCCAAATCCTAACATCGCTGAGCCTCTCACATTAAACGACCGTCTTTCCTGTAGTTGTTTGTCTTTCCAACGTGGTGCGCATACTAAACGATCTGGCACAGACTACAAGATTCTCCACTTGGTCTTGAGGATTCTCGATACCACCACCCTGTCTCGCGAAAAAAACAATGATGTAATTAGATTTTTAATGGACAGTTCTAAATTTACTGGGGTGGGGGGACTGGTCCAAATTAGGGAAGGGCCTGGGGCTTTCCCACCCTGACCGATAAATTCATTTTTAAAATAGAGACCTGTTTCCGAACGGACCAGAGAACAACTAGACCCGTTCCATATAGACCTGGTCGGATCCAGACCCGGTCTGATCTGCTTGAGGGGAGCAGCAGAAAATTATTTTTTTAAGCTACTTTATTAACCAGAGCTGATAAAGCATGAGAGGAGGGAGAGAGAGGTGGAGCTGCTCTAGGAGGCGGGGGAGGAGCCATACTGTGAGCAAATTAAACAGGGAGGAGGGAGGGAGAGATAAGAGACAGCAACCAACCAAGCCGACTCGTGCTATAGTAGACTAATAGTTGCCATAGCTAGGTTATTTTATCATCCAATATGATTATGTAGTACCTGTCTTGACTGCATCAAACCGCGAGAAGCTAGTGAAGCTTCATTAACTAGCTAGGCTAATTGAGGCTGCAGAGCATATGCTTTCTCATCCTACAGCTACAAACAACAACAACTCCATTCAGAATATTAAGTAGCAGCCTACCTGTTGGCTCTTGGTCATTGTAGCCTATCCTTCTCCTTTAACTTTAAATTCCTTCATTATAATTTCATCTTCCATTGATTAGATATCTCCTAACTTTTGCCACACACGTGCCACGCTCCACTCTTCTGATAAGCAAGAGTAGTGCTCAGCATAAATGATAACATTTCTCTCTCTCTCTCTCTACTGCAGCAGTTTCATTCGGATCTGTACGGCACTTCCAGACAAGTCAGTTAAAATTACACATACCTGAAACCCGTGACAATCAGATCCGGCCCAGACGCATGACATTATTTAGAATTCTGGATCCGGACCAGCTACAGAGGAGGGTAGTGCATTTTTCCCCTGATTTACATTCCCCATTTTGCAAGTTTTACTATATAATTTCTTCCATATAGCCAAATGTCCTCATTGGCTTAACAGCCAATGTGTATTATTTAACATTACTATTAAAATAGTACTCATTTGTTTACAAGTTGCTAGCTATCCCATAAAGCCATCACCAAAAACCACATATTTTTATCTTCTTCTGTGGTTTGGTCACATCCTGTTCTTCGATGGACTCTGGCTGGACTGAAGACCACAGAAAGTTTGAGAAAATTCAAAGAATGCAGTGTCAGTCTTGCAACGGAACCTTCAACCACAAGGGGGTGTTGCGATTCCACTCCGTTGTGGACGTCCCCATTGAAATGAATGACATCCGGCGCATACTTTTAACTTTTAAAATGTATTACATATTATGTGTGGCATAAACACAACCAGTCACAATGTTATAATCTGATTATGCTACTTAAAAAGTATCCTGTAGGCTTCATGTGCATGTTCATCCACTCCAATATAATTCCAGCATCCAAACTGTGCAACAGTCATTCGATGAATGGGAAGAAACATCTGTTACAAAACAAAACACCAAAAAGTTGAATGACAATCAGAGTTTGTCAAGCCAAGCCTTCGATACTGATTAGGGAGGGATGTATTTTCTGTTTGCTCGAGATTGACACACTCTATTTAATTGTGGTGTTACATGATGAAACACTCAAAGTCAGTAATCGGTATGCAGTTATGCATTGATTTTGGGTTGTGTGTGGTGCATTGGCACAGAAACCTGTTGGTGGAAAATTAGTTGCATGTATTTTATATAATTTATTAATATAGCATCAAAATGTTGATAATCTGATTTCCTCCTAAATCAAATCAAATCAAATCAAATGTTATTGGTCACGTACACATGTTTAGCAGATCTTATTGCGGGTGTAGCTGATCATTGTCTGCAGATGGCTCTGATCGTAGTGTAATGAGACCGGCAGGGAGAGTGAGCTCCTCAGTGGTGGTCAGCGAACCCTTAACCTTCTTGCCCATAGCCCTGCATTGCATCAACTGTGCCACAAAACCATGCTGAAGTGGTCAAGTTGATATCCATGTGTATAAACACAGGTTTGCTACAGGTATTGTTATATGTAGTAATCCCTAATGTAGCTAGAGCTAGCTGTGTCTCAAAGCAGCCTCATAAAGGTTTTCAGTCATACATTCATGCTTGCCATACAGAGTTGAAATATCTAGCCAACATTTCGAATTGAATAACATTGCTTGTGAACTTTAGAGCTGTAACAATTTGACGCTTTGGTTTAAGGCAAGTACAAACGCATACTAGTAGTCGCCTAGTCATCGCTCCTGCTCGAGTTTACACATTCTGGGTGATGCAAAACAACGTCATCATCTCACTGGCTTCTTCTCTGGCGAGCTAGCTCTCATTGGCTATTGCTGATCACCCGTTCTCAAAACGTGTTGTTGCACATCTCACACTACAAGAGCATTGCAGATTTTGTACCGAGAAAATCAAACATGTTTGAAAATATCTGGGACTGCTCAAAGATGCAATCAGTAACATAAATCAGTCTAGCTAACCAGAAGATTTTGCCTACATCAACATCAATGATCATCTGATAGCCCACCATCTTGTCCTGATGTCAATCATGTGTTTAGGAGGCACTAACTAACTGCCTTGCTTACAATTTGTGATGATGAGAGAGGGTGTTGTTACAGAAATAAATAGGCCATGCAAAAAAATATTTTAAAAATTTGGTATGTTATGAATTATGAATATGAATTATGAAAGTATTTATTTTTTCTATCAGGGTGCCCCTGTTTTTATTTTGAGTACCTGACCCCAGAAAGGTATGTGCTGTGCATGGCCCTGATCCAAGGTGAGTGTAATTTATACAGCAAGACTGAGATTATTTGCCCTACAGTCTTCATATGCTGACTTCATAGAGAGGGCTAAATCCAATCCCATCAAGGTTATGAAAAACAGGGGGCAATCATATCAACAGGAGTCATCTTAGCTGCAAAAAAACACCCAAAGTTCCTTCTGGGAAACATCAAGTTATTCTATTCAATTCTATTCTATTTAATTATATTCTATTCTATTTAACTCTATTCTATTTAATTCTATTCTGCCATGTCAGTTCCCTGTACAAGTAGACTTGTGCAACATTCCCTGGAGTGAACTGGTTACCCTAAACTTCCCCTATATCATGCCTGACATGTAGACTGTCCCATCTATTCTTATCACAGAACCATCTGCCCTAATTAACCAATTAGGCGAGAGCTTAGACAGGGTCATGGAAACATGGCCCAGCACACACATTCATGAATACTAATCCCATGGCCGGTGGGAACTAGGTGAGATGAGACACTATTCTGTAGGTAAAGCTGGGACCTTCAGGTATTGCAAATCTCACTACCAGGAATTGGTTACCTGGTTACATCCCAGGACACCTCAGCACTCTTACTGAGGCTTTATAACTTTCCTTCCCTTTTCTTCAATCCTTTCCTTCACTAACACTGTTCTGAAAGCACTGATCATTTGAGAGCAATATGTTGGATACCTATCCAGTTATTGTATGTATCAGTGGTCATATAGGAGTAGGTAGTTGCCCCCAACCACCAGTGCAGAGTCAGATGTTAGAATTGCAGGTATGCAAAGAAATCTGATCTTAGATCTGTGTGTAAGGGCAACTTCTGCCTCATGCAGTCATAAGGGAAGGACAAGACGGAGGCCCATTAACAGCACTGAGATCTGGATCTGTTTTAATATATTGAAAGGGATGAGCATACTGTTCTGCTACTGCATGATGTCAGTGTTAAGAGAAAAGGAGTGAGGTCATAATTCTCACATATTCAATCTATTTTTATTACTTAAGAAAGCAGGATTACTTTGATATTAAGTAGTTAACAAACAAATCACATGTCATAAATGGGTGCCTGTGCTGTGTAACAGCTGTTAAAGCTATTCAAGATGTAACAAGAGTCAAAACTAAGGTGTGTGACCGCATGCAACTTGGGATTTCAGCTTCATCCAATATCGGCCCTTCCCCAATATCGAGGGTTAAAAGCAAGCTGATGATGTTTTGTAAACCAAAGCATTCATCTTTTGTTCATTTCCACCCTCATTGGTTAAATCACAAGGCTACCAATTCAAT